ACGGGGGGGCAGCCGCCCCCCCCAGGCGACAGGGGACTCCCAGAGGCCGGGGGGCCCCAGACAGCAGCAAGGAACACGCGAACCGAAGCCGAAAGGCCCCAGGTCTCCGGGGCAGCAGGGACGTGCCCGAGGCCCGAGGGTCCTTGCCTCGAATTTCAGAAGGCTGGGGCAGCGGAGGAAGCAGGCGGCCCAGCAGAAGGGGACACGCCAGGGGCCCAGGGCCCCCAAGAAGGGGCGGCACTAGAGCCCTCCTGGACTCTGTCTTGGCTATAGACTGTGGGTGCCCTGTGCTGGCTGCAATACACCACTTGGCCCTGCCCTCTGTCTCCTGCTGAGCGAGGGGTTGCTGCATTCCCCGCCTCTGGGCGGGGCGCGATGGGTGCAGGGTTACCCCCCCGCAGGGCGGAAGCACAGTCTGAGCGCGGGCACACGCTGAGCCTTTCCTTGTGGTGTTGGGGAAGTGGTGGGGCAGCTTCTCCCTTCAGCCAGCCGCGGGCAGGAAGGAACCTCTGTCTGCTGTCCTGGGGCGAGCAGCACAGAGCCAGGGCCGTGCCAGGTGAGGGGGCACTTCTGGGCTCTCTGAGGCCTGAGACTTGGACTTTCCTGCCCGGGGCGGGTGCGCTGGCTGCCATGTGTGGGGGAGGGGGGGGCGGGCAGGGTCTGTCCCAGAGGCCCTGGCACCCAGCAGCTGGGGGAGGAGACCCTAGAGCAGGATCCCAGGACTGGGGGGTAGGAACCATGCCCTGTGGGGTAAGGCTGATGGGGGAGGGGCGCTGCTCACAGGCACGGAGGCAGTGGGGAGGTGAGTGCAGCTATTGGGGGCTACCGGCCCTTGTCTGTTCAGTGTGCGGCATGGGGCTGCTGGCAGCACAGGCTGACCCCTCCCAGGGATCTTGTGGGGGTGGGGAAGAAGTCAGCTTGTAACCCACAAGAGCCCCCTAAGCCCCAGCTCAGGGCTCTGTTCTAAATGGGGGAGGTGGCCCAGGCCGGGGGGGGAAGGGACTTTCCACTGCGCTGGCTGCTGCCGGGAGTGGGCGGGCGGCCTGGGCCTGTGGCTGCACTCGGCATGGCTGTGGCCCGGGGACCAGGCTGAGCACAGCCCAGGCTGCAGCCTGTGAACTCCCACAGTTGTCACCTTGGGGCCTGGCCTGCAGCGGGTGAGAGCAGCTCAGCTCAGAGCCCCAGCGGGGCAGGGCAGGGGGGGAAGGTCAGTCCCGCAGGCAGGGAGGTCAGAACTGCTCACGGTATCCCCCTGTACAACACTGCCCCCCAGCAGCAGGAAGCCTGGGGCCACGCTGCGGCCAGTGGGTAGCAACACTTCTCTGCAGCCTGGGCTGTTCCTCTTCTGTGTCCTGCGTGAGGGGCTGGGCTGGGGGCGG